ATCTATTACACAACAACTTTCGCGGATCATTGCTTTCCTTTCGCGGACCCATCGCGGATCTTTCGCGGAGACACTACTTTACATGTTAAAACCGTTTTATATAATCCCCACAAAAGGACCTTTAGATCAATGCTCATATATATTTGCACACACACGCTATACTAAAATAATCCAATTACATTGCATTATAACATAGTATGAACAAACAGAATAGAACACAAAATGACATGGTGGTGTATATACTGTGCGGTAGGGCGTCATTGTGCAAAATATACTGTTCTGTACCATGGCAGAATAGAAACAAATATTGACATTCTTAATGCAACATAAAAACTGTAAGTAAGAGTAGCTGTCTATTAACATGTTAGCCAAGCTCTGCATATTCTTGATACGGTATGCATATAATCATATATCAATACGAGTCTTTGTTATATGACGTTAACCTGACTTACCAAAACATGAATTTACTATTGATGTAAGAGCTTGCTTGACCTCAATATACATATTTCAGCTGCAAAGCGAAGAATCCACTATAGCGGCACGGCTTCCTATCTTTTGACCCGCCTGCGCGTGTCAGCTCAAAGGGGCCCCCTGGTTCGAGCCGTAGGGGCCGCGGTGAAACGCTAAGCTGCGACGTCGGTGCCTCCTAAAGAAGCACCTCCTAAAGCGCATGCTGCATCCACAAAACTTCCTTTCGAGCTTAGCTCTACTCGCGAAGCTGTGGCACAGAAGGCTCGAAAAGCTCCTCCACATAGCTGTCCCACTCAGGTGAGCTCGGGGACGTTGAGGTAGCAGCCTCTTGCAGCTCTTTCGCCTTGCGCAGCCTTTGTTGTTTCCTGGCGCTGACAAAGTCGTGGTTAAAGCGAACCACCCAAGTCTTCCTTTCCAAGTAGGTGGCAGCAACCTTGAAGGCGTCCACCGTTGCTTTTGTCAGCGAGTCTGCCAGGTTGATATCGGAAGGAACCCAGGTGAGGTAGCATCTGCCATCATCACGTAGGGCTTTCTGGATAGCCGCCACTTCGACGCCAGTGCGGCTGTTGGCCATTCCGAGTAGGGGTGACTCCGAACTGGTCACAGAGTCATACAGCCCTCTGGAGTCCGTCACCAAGAGTGACTCCATTGACGCCGCCAGTTCCACGGCGTTCTTGCGGTTGAGCTCCTCCCCGTTCAGGATTGCCCACAGCAGCCGCACTCGCCATCCGCGGTCTTCTGCCTCATAGAGGCCTTGGCTCTCTGTAGAGTTCGTGCCCTTTGCTGGGCGGTCCAGCTTCCAACTCCGCCAGTCGATGATCGACATCTTTGCTTCGGCTCCCTGAAGGATGCACGGCTCGGCGAACCCCGTGATATATCCTCCTGTAGAGGAACCATCACCTCGGCTTTTGTGACCTGCGTCACCAAAGTGCACAGCCACCACATCCTTCCACGTGAGCTTTTCCTCCGTGGTCCGGCCGAAGTTGAAGGCGTGAAAGTAGAGGTCCTCCTTGGCCGTCTTCTTCATCTCCTTGAGGATGCTGTTCGCCTCCTTCAGGTTGGACACCCTAGGGTCCGTCAGCGCCGAAGCCGCAATGCCAACTCGAGCACAGTACTGGAAGGCAGTCTGAACCGCCCGCCACTGGGCTTTCATGATAAGCCCTCGACACTGACTCGTCTCCTTGTCGGTCAGCTTGTGCTCGGCTCCACGGCTAGCTTCCTCGGCGATCTCCACTGGCTGAAGCGCGTTGGAGAAGGTCTCCTGCGTCACCTTGATCGAGAAGTCCTTCAGCTGCTGGATCTCAAGCCCGGCAAAAGTAAAGCTGCCTAACCGCCAAGGGCTCCACTTGTACATGT